TTTAAGAAAGGCAAGACAGAACTAAATAGCAAGCTAAGGTCATGAGGTCAACAGTTGTAAAGCAATAAATATGTCAAAATAAGATACATAAGTTCCCAGAGTATAAGTTTTGGAGAGTCAAAGTTCCTTTGGTCAGAGACCTAATGAATACATTGGACAAAGGAAGTTTTGGCTCTCAAAAGCTTATGCTTGGGAAATCTGGTTGGCCTTCAAGCTGCTGCCGGACTCGAATCTAGCTCTTTTGCTACAGACCCGCAATGTTGCCCTTCCAAAATCAGACTGAGAAAGAGTGACTGGCCCAAAGTCACCCAGTGAGCTTTCACAGCGCAGCTGAGATTCGAACTGGGGTCCCCTGTATCCTAGTCCAGCACTCCAATGATTCTCACACAGTTTCTCAGGAGCCACATGTAGTGCTGTGACGTAGCACCAGCAATGCTCCCTCTAAGCTGTGGAGTCTTGCGAGCAAAAAATCCTACTTTGTGAGCTACTGGCATTAAAGTTGTGAGTGAGTTATTTGGCTACTGCATAGTTTGCTCTGGGGCCATCCTTCTTGAGCTAAGACAAAAAATGTGTGAGCCGGGGACTAAAAAACTATGAGCTAGCTCACACTAACTGAGCTTAGGGGGAACACTGATCACCAGTGTCCTTTCTGAGCACTGTCCCACGTGTTCCACCCGTCCCACGTTTCAGGAAAGTGGGCCTATTGGGGCTTGCGGTTGGTGGGTGTCGCCCACCATGAAACAGGCCCCACCAGAGGAACGGGTAAGCTGCAAGCCCCCATGAAGGGCAGGCCCCATGCTGGGGGTGGAAGTAAATATGGCTCGTTGGGTTTCAAAGAATGTATCTCTTAAATACACACTGCACCTAATTAAGAACACTAAATACAACGGGACCATGGAGATATGAACTACAATGACAAAAACAAAATACACCGTGGAGAGAACGGATTGTTCAAGGTCAAACACCACAAAAGTGCTACTCAAAGGCATATGTCTCAAACATAATAAATGAGAAAATCATGCGTGGAGATTAAACTGTAAATATACTCTGTATACTATTAAGCCTGTTTTTCAGCCTCCCTGCAGACCAGAAAGTTTGGAAACTAAGGAACAGCAAAGAAGATTACAGTGTTTTCAAGGACTGTATACATCCCATTTACTGGTCTTGCTTTAGAATCATAGAATGTTAGAGTTGGAAGGGATCTTGCAGGTCATCTAGTCCAACCCCCTGCACTCTGCAGGAGCACAGCCGAAAGATAGCCTAACATACCTACAACATACCCGAAAGATGGTCGTCCAGCCTCCGCTTGAAAACATCCAGCGAAGGAGCATCCACCACCTCCCAAGGCAGTCTGTTCCACTGCTCAACCACTCTTTAGGAAGGTTTCTTTGTACTTGTGTATTTGTTTCATAGCCTTTGTGCTTTAATAAGCAATAAGTATAGGTGGATCATACTAAAAGATTTACAGTTTAATCTCCACGCATGATTTTCTCATTTATTATTTTGGAGACATATGCCTTTAAGTAGCACTTTAGTGGTATTTGACCTTGAGCAATCCGTTCTTTCCACGGTGTATTTTGTTTTTGTCATTGCATCTAATTAAGAAAGCAGACCCATTAATAACTGAAGATTTAACACGCCTTGGCTATCGTTTTCCAAAAGTGACCATCTCTAAACCGGAGCCAATACACCTGAAAGTCGCCAGATTTACCTTCGTGACAAAACCAACAGCACCCTAGATCTAACTGTTAGGAAGAACTTCCTGACAGAGTGGTTCCTCAGTGGAACAGGCTTCCTTGGGAGGTGGTGGGCTCTCCTTCTTTGGAGGTTTTCAAACAGAGGCTAGACGGCAGTATATAAATCTAATTAAAATAAATAGCCATCTGACTGCAATGCTGATTCTGTGAACTTAGGCAGATCACGAGAAGGGAGGGCAGGAAGGGTTGCATCAGTGGTCAGTTCTTGTGGCCCTTTCTTACACGCCCAGGGAAATGCATCGTCTGGGCATGGAACAACGGTCACTAGTAGTGTGGAGGGGGGGAGATATTTGTGAATTCCCTGCATTGTACAGAGGGTTGGACTAGATAACCCTGGAGGTCCCTTCCAACTCTAGGAGTCTATGATTCTACTCTACATACAGTCTTCTAAGCCTCCGTGAACCATGAGTAAAGGAAAGGGGTGTGTGTGTGTTAAGCGCCATCACGTCGCTTTCAACATACGATGACCCGATGGATGCATGACCTCCAAAACGTCCTCTCATTAACAGCCTTGCTCAGGTCTCGCAGACTGAAGGCCGTGGCTTCCTCGACTGAGTCCATCCATCCCATGTTGGGTCTTCTTTTCCTGCTGCATTCAACGTTTCCTAGCATTATGGTCTTTTCCGGTGGCTCTTGTCTTCTCTGAAGAAAGATCCAGGTGGGTAACTGTGTTGGTCTGAAGCAACAGAACAAAGTTTGAGTCCAGTGGCACCTTTAAAACCAACAAAGCTTAATTCTGGGTCTTCAAGGTGAAATTGGACTCAAACTTTGTTGCTTCAGACCAACACGGCTACCCACCTGGTCGCTTTCAACATATGATGACCCTATGGATGAATGACCTCCAAAACATCCTCTTGTTAACAGCCTTGCTCAGGTCTCGCAGACTGAAGGCCGTGGCTTCCTCGACTGAGTCCATTAATCCCATGTTGGGTCTTCTTTCCCTGCTGCATTCAACTTTTCCTAGCATTATGGTCTTTTCCAGTGGCTCTTGTCTTCTCTGAAGAAAGATCCAGGTGATTAACTGTGTTGGTCTGAAGCAACAGAACAAAGTTTGAGTCCAGTGGCACCTTTAAAACCAACAAAGCTTAATTCTGGGTCTTCAAGGTGACATTGGACTCAAACTTTGTTGCTTCAGACCAACACGGCTACCCACCTGAATCTACCTTCATGGAAGGCACCCTATTAAGCCGCATGGAATGGAATGCCAAGGTACCTGAAGAAATGTGCGTGCACACAAAGGCTTATACCCAGAATTAAACTTTGTCGGTCTTAAAGGTGCCACTGGATGCAAAACTTTGTTCTTCTTGTCTTCTCAGAGTATGGCCCATGTACGCTAGAAGACTCTTGAGACTGAGAGAAGATCAAATCAGTCAATCCTAAAAGAAATCAACCCTGACTGTTCCCTGGAAGGCCAGATAATGAAACTGAAGCTCAAATACTTTGGCCACCCAATGAGAAGGGAGCACTCCCTGGAGAAGACCCTGATGCTGGGAAAGATGGAAGGTCAAAGAAGACGGGGACGGCAAAGGATGAGATGGTTAGACAGTGTCATCGATGCAACGAACATGAAATTGAGCCAACTTCAGAGGCCGGCGGAAGACAAGAAGGCCTCGCGTGATCTGGGCCATGGGGTCGCGAAGAGTCGGACTCGACTGTGCGACTGAACAACAACAACGCTAGCCTCAGTTTAGTCATTTTTAGCTTCTCAGGAGAGTCCAGGCTTCATCTGATCTACGACCCTCTGATTTGTCTTTTCGGCAGTCTGTGGTATCCGTAAAACTCTCCTCTAACATTAAACTTCAAAAGGAAGGGTATCGATGAATCGACAAATAAATGAAGGGATAAATAAGATGCATGAAACTCTTCTTAGTGCCCCTTGAGAAAACGCCCTCTCCAAGTTGCCCCATCTAAAAAAAAAATCTTTTATTGGTGTCTTTTCAAAGTATCCCCTTATTAAGCTGTCAGCAGAAAAGAAAGGCATTTTTTCCTCTATAAAAAAAGGATTTTTGTTGGCTAAACTTGGCCAGAGCAAAACAGCTATGAGATACTGACTGACCATGCAGAATTAAAAAAAGGGAAACTTTGCAGATGTCCCTTCTGGCATGGGCTAGAACTGCTGGATCGTCTCCCTTCTGAGTCATAAGGCAGAGAAGCGCCAACAGACGCAATCCTCTTGTATGATTATCACGAGCACCGAAGTGCGTGATCTGACAAAACATTGGAATTAATTAGGCTCCAGCTGCCCGCTGGGGACTCTCCAGTTTACTGAAATATAATCTCTTCCAAACAGGCACGGGAATGTGTCGGTTTCCCTTGTGATTACCACAGGAAAAAAAGTAAAATCTGCACCTTCCCCGGTCAGGATCGTTTAAAATCCGTCTTATCGTGTTGAAAGATGGCGTGACCCCCACGACTCTCGCTGGCAGAAGCGTAACCACTGCTTCCAGCAGGAGGACATCCAGCTACTTATCTCCTCTCACAATACCTGCTGACGCCAAAGCGGTTTGTACGAGCTGACAGAGTTCCCGGTTGTGCTACAATGGTCGCTTGTGTCTCCGACAGAGAGACACCGGGGGGGCGGATTCAGACAACCATTCATACTTCTCAGGTATCTCCGATTGTCACACACATCCCCGATCCCAACCTAATTTTTAAAGCCGGTCCCTGGCTGGAGACAGTTGGTTCTGAAGACAGCGAGTTCAACAGAGGTAAGAAGAAGAGATTGGATGTATACCCCACCCTTCTCAGAGCAGTTTACAATCTCCTTCCCCTCCCCCTCCCCACAGCAGACACCCGGTGAGGTAGGTGAGGCTGAGAGAGCTCTCCCAAGAACTGTCCTTAAGAGAACAGCTCTGAGAGAACTTGTGACTGGCCCAAGGTCACACCAGCAGCTGCAAGTGGAAGAGTGGGGAAATCAAACCCGGTTCTCCCAGATTAGAGCCCACTCTCTTAACCACTGCACCAACAGAGGTAAGGCCAGCAGTGTAAACATTCCACCACCCCTCACTGTTCAGAGCTTCTGCAGTCCATTAGCAACCTGAAGAATACGAGGACCCTGTGGTTGTGACAAGGTTTACCTTGTGGCTGCAGCAAGTCAGACCTTTTCAAGTCAAGCCTTGCAATTCTACAACCCTAAGATCCAGAAGTACTTTTACATGCAACAAATAACACTCGTTCTTTAGTGACATGTAAACTTCAGGGTCCCCCGATAGCACAGAGAGAAAAACCAGCAAGTTCTCTCACCTCATTGTCTGTGCCAACATCTAGGAGGACAGGAAGGCACTGCTGAGGGTGAACGCCACCACAAGCTGTGTACAGGGCAAGTTTCCCTACTGGGATCCCCATGCCGTAACTTCCTAGGTCTCCCAGACCTAGAATTCTCTCTCCATCTGTCACCACGACAGCCTGCAAATGAACAGAAGTATTGGTTACGGAGAGACGCATTGCACGTGGTTCAGTAAAATCAAGATAAAAACAGGTGTAAGATTTGGAGAGGAGCTGCGGTGGCTCAAGTGGTTAAGACGCTGAACTGCAGGCTGTGGAAGGTCGGTAGTTCAGCAGTTTGAGACCCGGGTGCCACATGACGGAGTGAGCTCCCGTCTCTAGTTCCAGCTCCTGCCAACCTAGCAGTTTGAAAGCAACAAATTGCAAGTAGATAAATAGGTACCGCTTCGGTGGGAAGGGAACAGCGTTCTGTGCGCCTTGGTGTTTAGTCATGCCGGCCACATGACCACGGAAACGTCTTCGGACAGCGCTGGCTCTTCGGCTTTGAAACGGAGACGAGCACCGCAACCCTAGAGTCGGATTCGACTGGCTTTCGAGCAAGGGAACCTTTACCTTTACGATTTGGAGACAGGGTTTCCAACAGGTCTGGAGAACAAACATTGGCCCTGTCCCTTTAACAGAGACTTAATAGGACGTTATTTAACAGGTGATGTCATATACCTCCATGGCCTGAGCTGGATGGCTCAGGCGAGCCCAATCTCGTCAGATCTCGGAAGCTAAGCAGGGTCGGCCTCGGCTAGTATCTGGATGGAAGACCACCAAGGATGTCCAGGGTTGCTATGGAGAGGCAGGCAATGGCAACCACCTCTGAAACATCTCAAAAACAAGTCTAGCTCACCACCTAGTGGTGCATAATGCTAAAGAGATAGAACTTCTGGCTGCCAGACAATCGTAGGATCTCCTGGCTATACTACACACAATGCCATTATACCTCCATGCAGCAAAAAGATTCCACGGCCCATTTCCACATGTTTTAAACTTCTATTAAAAGGTTGGGATTTATATTTTGGCTCCCTATTTGGAAATCAGAGGAACCGGTTTGGAAATCACTTCACTGCATTTATTACAAACCTGACCTTTTCCTCTTGAGAGTTAAGCCCTGAAAGACTCATTCTGCAAATCTGTAGCGAAAGTGGGCTGTGGTAGGCACTGATTGGTTAATACCCATGAAGTCACTACGTGCACTTTCACACATGCTGAATAACACACTTTCAGTTCACTCTCAATGCACTTTTAGCAATCTTCTGCAAGTGTGTTTTGCCATTCACACAGTAAAATCCAGCTGTCAGGTGCATTGGAAGCGGATTGAAAGAAGAGAATTTTGAAAACACATGGGCAAGACTTTACAGATGGATTGAAGAATACATTAAATGAACTGTCCATACAACTGAAGCAGAATACAATTAAAGCATAATAACAAGATTATTGACAGTAATAAGTGCAAAAGTATGATCTGACATGTTAAGGTGCAGAAAACTATTTTTGTTTGGTGAGGGAAAATTCAAGAGATACTGAATGGTTTCGATTCTCACAGTCTATGTTTTGTTTGTAATTTTGTTTTGTCTTTGTTGTTGTGTTTATTTGTTGTTGTTATAATTTTTTTTTAAAAAAAGAAAGTGTGTTATTCTCTGTGTGTGATAAGTCTCTTAAGACAACTCCCTAGCTGCACCATATTACTACCAGGTAACTCACGAAACAAACCAGCCTACAAAAAAGCTCTTTAAAAGGCTGAAATGGAATGCAGAGAATGTGGAGCTTAGCTTTGACAGTCTGGAGGCGGAGTCTATGGTAACCATGGGGGAGCATCAAAGTGGATGTTCTATCCTCAGCGACCTTGCACACATATGTGCTCATCCTTACTGTGATGGAAAGTGCCATAATGGCAGCCGACTTATGGCGACCCTGCAGGGTTTTTCAAGGCAAGAGACGAAAAGAAGTGGTTTCACCACTGCCTGCCTCTGTGTAGCAACTCTGGACTCCCTTGGTGGTCTCCCATCCAAGTACGAACCAGGGCTGACCCTGCTTAGCTTCTGAGACCTGGCTAGCCTTAGCCATCCCAGGTCAGGGCAACTCTCCTTTACACTGAAGCAGATGAGGTTTGTATTTCCCCTGGTGTACAGGGGGAAATAATGAGAGCCCAAAACTATTGAGCATGATGTCGTCTGGATGTTCCACTTTACGGTGGGGGCTCCCTGCTCTCCATATGGGCAAAAATCCCATGGAAATCTGATGAAGTGTGCATGCTCATGGAAGCTTATACCCAGAGGTCATTTCCTGGGGGAGCGCACAGGAGCGGAGCTCCGGCAGTAAGGAGCCCAGGGGGCGGGCACATGCAACAAGTCCCGCCCCCTGCTCCCAGCAGCCCTCAGTCGGGCCACAAGGAGCAAGAAGCAGCCAGGTAAGTTGCAGAGCCCCCCCCATCCTGCCTTCAGGTGCAAGCTATCCCTCCCCTGTGAGGGCAGATCTGCGCAACCAAGTTTTATTCAGTTACCAGCTCTCCCTCCTCTGCGAGGACAGATAGCAATCCAAAACAGTCTAATAATAATAATAATAATAATAATAATAATAATAATAATAAACAGCCAGGTGAGACTAAAACGGGTGGTTGATTTATCATTAAATTAAACTTTAGCCTTCCTCCAAGAAGATACAAATGACATAGAAGGGGTACAAAATGCTCAGACAAAATGGAAATGGGAAACAGGACCAAGCAATGAAGAAGTCGGAGAAGGAGACACAGTAATTTTTTTGCACAGCTGACGGCCGGTTGAAAGAGGGAATCACTGTTTGCGGTCTGTATACTCTACCCACTTTCTCCTCTAGTTAAACAGGTTTGGAAGGTTTAGTTTAGAAAACCCTGCAGAACCTATTTGGCCACCGCAAGCAATGGGACTGGAGACTTTTTGTAGCATGGGGGGCTTTTTTCGCTGAAAACAATTTTCACGCATTTAAAAACTATTGCCTGGCTCCAGGCCAAGACCAGATTAAAGAACTAATAAATAAGGAAATAGGTGGGTAGGAAGTCATCAAGACAGGGAGTGAACACTTCCTTGCTGGACTCTGAAATCCAGGAAGGCCACATTGGACGCACTTACGGTTGGAACTAATTGTGACTTCAGGGAAGTGATTTTATTTGCCTAAACGGGCAGCTTTTGAAATGCGTTACACCAGCCTTTGTAATACACAGGACGAATAAAGATTTAAAATAGCTTTAGCCCCTGTTTGTCTTTTAAGTAAGCATAATTTAATTCCCCTTATCTTTCAGCCAGTATGAGAAGCAGCGGTCATTTCCTGCAGGAGCGCACAGGAGCAGAGCTCTGGCAGTAAAGAGCCCAGGGGGCGGGCACATGCAACAAGCCCCACCCCCTGCTCCGAGCAGTCCTCAGTCAGAGCAAGAAGCAGCCAGGTAAGGTGCAAAGCCACCCAGCCCCCTGGTCCAAAACAGTCCAGTGGCGCCTTTAAGACCAGGTTTTATTCAGGTACAAGCTCTCCCTCCTCTGTGAGGACAGATCTGCACCAGTTCCCCCCCCAATAGCTAGCAATCCAAAACAGTCCAGTGGAGCCTGAGCGGTGGGTGTTGCCTTCTGACACACTTCCGGTGATGTCAGGGGGTGTGGCATATGCAAATAAGTTATGCTCATGAGTTATGCTAATGAGCTCCTGCACCTCTTTTTCTACGAAACGACCCCCAATGAGAAGCTTAAGACGGCAATCCAGTCGAACAACAGTGATTTTGGTGGCAGCCACATTTTGGAAAGAATGTTTGAACTGGGCCACCCATGGGAGAGACAGTAGCCGTGGTCACATGCTACAGTGAATACACACACATCCTGGATGTACAAACGGGACTGGGGACCAGTACCTGGGGAAATGTGCAGTTTCAATGACACATTCAGCCGTATATGTGAGAAACCTAGCATGAGAATTGAGGATTAAGAATAAGACGGCCAATATTATAGTGCCCCTGTATAGATCTATGGTGCAGCCTCATTTGGAATGCTGTGTACAGTTCTGGTCACCGTATCTCAGAGCTGGGAAAGGTACAGAGGAAGGCAACCAAGATGAGGGGGGGTTGGAACCCCTTCCCTGTCAGGAAAGGCTGGGACTCCGAGACAACTAATGGGAGACCTGATAGAGGTTTATAAAATTATGCATGGAGTGGAGAGAGCCGACAAAGAGAAAATTTTTCTCCCTCTCCCAAAATACTAGAACTTGAGGGCATCCAATAAAGTTGTTTTAGAATCATAGAGTTGGGAGGGGCCATACAGGCCATGTAGTCCAACCCCCTGCCCAATGCAGGACCAGCCTAAAGCATCTCTGATAAACATTCGTCCAGCCTCTTCTTGAAAGCTGCCAGTGAAGGGGAGCTCACCACCTCCCCAGGCAGCCGATTCCACCTTTGAACCACTCTGACCGTGAAAAGGTTTTTCCTAATATCCAGCCGATACCTTTCTGCATGTAATTTACACCAGTTGCTTCGGGTCCTCTCCTCTGTTGCCAACTGGAACAGCTCCTTGCCCCCCCCCCAATGAAACCCTTTCAAATATTTAAAGAGAGCCATTATGTCCCCCCTCAGTCTCCTCTATTTAAATATTTATCTCAAATATTTAAAGAGAGCCAGTTTGGTGTAGTGGTTATGTGCGCGGACTCTAATCTGGGAGAATCGGGTTTGATTCCCCACTCCTCCACTTGCACCTGCTGATGTGACCTTGGGTCAGTCACAAGCTCTGGCACAGCTGTCCTTGAAAAAGAGCAGTTTGACACAGAGTTCTCTCAGCCCCACCCACCTCACAGGGTGTCTGTTGTGGGGAGGGGAAGGGAAAGGAGTTTGTAAGCCGCTCTGAGACTCCAAGTGAAGGGCGGGGTATAAATCCAATCTCTTCTTCTTCTTCTTCCCACCAGGAAAGGATGTTAAGCTGTATACCTATACGTCACCTGCAAGTTCTTGCTGAATTGTTTGTGCTTTAATTGGTTTAACTAGATTTCATATTTAAATTTGTATATGGCAAATGTTGTACCCCGCCCTGAGCCTTGTTGCATGGGGGAGGGTGGACTCCAGGTGTGGCCTGACCAAGGCAGTATACAGAGAGAGTGATTAAAATGTGGAATTCGCTGCCAGA